GGTGGTGGTGGTGGTGGTGGTGGTGGTGGTGGCCGTCTAGACAAAATGTATATAAAATCAAACACTTATTAAAAGGAAATTTGAAAATATCTGGTATAGTTTAAATTATTTACACGATTTTATAACGATTTGACTGGATTTATCATCAAAATATTTAATATGTTTAAAATAATATACATGTATGTTCTTATCAATAAATTCACGTAAACGACTTGGATAATTGCATTGATATATATATCAAAGTTTCTGTCATAATACTATCAAGTGGTAAAGTGACATAGAATGATACATTTTATTTCCATAGCAAGCTATACCTAATTAAAATAGGGTTACTACACATGGCAGCTTTGATCATAGTATGGAAAAAACTGGCTGTGACGACGGAATCTGCCACTTGCTCTTTGGAAAGTCGGTGGCTAGTTAACTATTCGAGAAACTCGATTGATTCGACACGTTTATCTCGATAACAACGATTGAAATAGACAAATTATTGGTTAATATTTTCAAATTTCTACTGTGAGAGAAGAAAAACAAACTAGGCAAAACCTGTAGCAAACTATTTGGTTGAATGCTTCATGACCACAATGTAGAACTTATTCCCAAATAAAGTTTTCTTATTAGGTTGACTATAAGCTATTATCGGATTTGATGAATTTGCAGTTTCACTAGATTCAATAGGATTCGATCGTTTTCTGTAAAATACAGTATGTGATATTCAATTCGAACAAAATTCTATGAAGTATTTTGTTAAAATTAACAAAGCAAAATGGAACGAAAGAACTACATTTATTACTTTCTTTAGATATTTTTCAACGAAAAAAGCATCTATACTCAAAGTCAGTGTCAACAAGAAACTTATATAAATATCTGAGCAGAAGACACTTTTGGAGAAATTTAATCTAATATTTTGTCCCGAAGGCAAACCTATTCGTATAGTTTTCTTCATTTATGTTCACTGTTTCGACAGTTATCTATGAGATATAATTCAGATTATATGTGGCAAACAAATATACCTTCGTTCATTTCGAGTGCGTGACGTAAATGAATTATAAAGTAATTCAGAATTCAATCAAACCTTCGCCTATTCTAATTAAGAGAAAAACCATAAGTCTTACACGGCGTACCAGGGTCTACGAGGGCGTAGGTGTGGTTGTGAATGATAATGTCTTCTTCATGCCTAGCACACACATCCTCACGATATTCGTAGACGAGTGCATGACAAATCTTAGTGATAGTATCATTGGGATTTTCCAAAAAAACTGTCACCTATCCACATATAGATACGTAGATAGATAGATACGTAGATAAACAGATAGGTAGATAAATAGATAAATGGGTAGATCGAAGGGTCACGGCAATGATCACGGTCACGGTAGGTATCTGTGAGGGCACGGTTTTCAATCATGGTAACTGATTGATTTTCAGCCTATCGTGGCACCCACAGTTAAGATGTTATGTATGTGTGCAGACGTTGTTTTAAGCCTTTTGTGGCACCCACACTTGCAATGTTATGTATGTGTGCAGATGTTGTTTTCAGTCTTTCGTGGCACCCACACCCACACCCTCTGGTAAATAGCTGTAGACCCTGGTAGATATCTGTAGAAATTTAGTTTTAGCTCTGAATTATATTGTAATTCATTTCTTCTGAATTACTTTGTAATTCATTTGCGTCATCCAGTGTTCATTTCAACGTGAATTTCTCTAAATGAAATGAATGAGTTTTTGTAATGTCAATTCTGTGATAAAAATTAGTTCCATTGTGATACTGAAAATAACTCAAATGAAATAATATCAGTTTTGATCAATGAACTATACGTTGCCTGATATTTCTAAATATGTCATCTGATCAATACCGAAGAAATCTGTACTGAATCAAATGGGTTATCGAAGATGTTAATCATAAGCAAATCATCAATGATTAACGCGCAAACTAAATTTCAACTTATGCAACTTACATATCTTGTAAATCACTAAGCCGTTTTTTTATCGCACTGAATTCAAACCGCAGTTCTGGTTCGTTCAGCAAACAATCAGAAATAACTGCCCATAAATTTTCCTGGCATTGCTTTGGACGTCCTAATCTGCGATTAATGGATGCTCTTCTACGAGTATCACCACTACTTGTATCACCCGCGAAAGGAATGGCTCCTTGCGAACATGCTTGCCACATCAAGACGCCCATCGAATAAACTTCCGAAAATTCTGAATAACTTGATGCATTTCGATTTCGACGAATTTCAGGAGCACAATACGGTATTAAACTTGCTGGTATCTTTCTATCTCCAACTGACTGACCGATTGGACAAGCTCGACTGAAATTAGTTAATTTAACAAGATTTCTTTCGGGATCAGAAGGATCCATTTTGACGACAAGTACATTCGAACAACGTAGATCCCCGTGTACGAAATTTTCACCGACAAGATAAATCATCGCTTCTGTGATCTGCAGAAAGA